GTTTTACATATAAATGATCAGGAAACCTTATTGACTGGGAGAATATACTGATGTTTTACATATAAATGATCAGGAAACCTTATTGACTGGGAGAATATACTGATGTTTTACATATAAATGATCAGGAAACCTTATTGACTGGGAGAATATACTGATGTTTTACATATAAATGATCAGGAAACCTTATTGACTGGGAGAATATACTGATGTTTTACATATAAATGATCAGGAAACCTTATTGACTGGGAGAATATACTGATGTTTTACATATAAATGATCAGGAAACCTTATTGACTGGGAGAATATACTGATGTTTTACATATAAATGATCAGGAAACCTTATTGACTGGGAGAATATACTGATGTTTTACATATAAATGATCAGGAAACCTTATTGACTGGGAGAATATACTGATGTTTTACATATAAATGATCAGGAAACCTTATTGACTGGGAGAATATACTGATGTTTTACATATAAATGATCAGGAAACCTTATTGACTGGGAGAATATACTGATGTTTTACATATAAATGATCAGGAAACCTTATTGACTGGGAGAATATACTGATGTTTTACATATAAATGATCAGGAAACCTTATTGACTGGGAGAATATACTGATGTTTTACATATAAATGATCAGGAAACCTTATTGACTGGGAGAATATACTGATGTTTTACATATAAATGATCAGGAAACCTTATTGACTGGGAGAATATACTGATGTTTTACATATAAATGATCAGGAAATCATGGCTATGTTGATTGTGTGACTTGTGTTTCAGGTGGTCGTGGTGTTGCCCAGGTCACTCCCAAGGGACCCATGCCAGTAGGACGGGGCCAGCCTGGTCTTGGGAGGGCAGCTGGTCGGGGTCTCATGTCAATGGGGCCTCCTGGATATACATCAATTAACACCAATACCAACTCCATACATTCTTCAGCTGAGCAGCAGTCAATGATCACACAGTCAGCAGTTACACAGCCTGGTCAACAGTTCGTGGTCAAACAGCCTGCAGGTCAACAGCTGGCTGTAGGAATGATTGGTCAGGCAGCACTGAGGTTGCCTAGCAGTATGATGCCGAATGTGTTCAGTATGGGACTGGGGCGTGGGTCAGAAAGAGGTACTTTACCTTTTCACCTACTTTTTCTGTTAGTTTTGTTTAACTGTGTATGTTAACATAGCCTGACAACATAATCATAGCCAGACAACTTTTTATCATAAGCAGACTTCATTTATCTGGTCTGACAACATTAATAATAGGCAGACATTATTTAACATAGCAACACAACATTTCTCAAAGTCTGACAACATTTATCTTATAAAGACAAAATTTTGAAATGTTATTATGATAGTGCTTTTTTCTCCAGGATCCATTTTAAAACAGAATGGTGCCTCTCCAAGCTTTGTCATCCCTAACGTGAAGGGCATCTCTGGAGATATTCCTGTGGTAAACAGTTCTGGTTCAGAGGCTGACGATGGCAACATCTCCTCAAGCAGCACTTCGGTAAGTTAGTTGTCTCCGTGACTACCAATTCAAAGATACTGTCTGGTGATGCTTCTATATAGTCCTCAGTTACTTTGTTGGTTCTATGTTAATTGTTTCATTAATACTATGCATGTACTCTTGCTAACATTTAAAGCTTCCAGTGAGCATTTTTCACAATTTTTAAGCCGCTCTTGGTGAGAGCCGAGCAGCTTATTAATTCTGTTCAGGGAACGAAATGACGGACCCACTTCCGTTCGGGGTGCGTGCGCATAATTCAGTCTTGCATGCTTCCGCTATATAGTTTCGTTATCGTAAATAGAAAGTAGAATCTCTGACACTCACCTGTGTTACATAAAGTCTTCTGATACTCTTCTCCAAATAATAATCCATACTTTAAATAATTGCTGAAAACAAAATGTTTATCTCCGGTGCATTCTACGAGTGTTGTGGTGGTGAAATTCGTGCACTGGGTTTTGAGCATTTTAGCAACTCAGATTGAGGTCTGAGGAGTGTTACATGTGTAAAACACATATGATTCGAGAAAGCACATGTGAAGACTGTCAAGCACTGACGCTGTCTGTAGAAGGAAGAAGTAAATATATATACTTATAAACCGTATGAGTGATGAAGTATTACCTTTATTTTGAATTTTCAAACGGGAACATAATATGACATAACGTGCCTAGGTTGATAACGGTAATGGCTCTGAGACGAGACGATATGTGAACCTTGTTACATGTATGCTTATCAAACATTTCTGTTACACAGCATGCTTTTTCTGGTGTATTTATTTATAAAAATATAACAATTTAAGAACATGACACAACTGCCGCTGCTGTTTGACAAGAATTCGCGCCATGTCAAAATATTATTCAATCCGGTGTAAGGGAAATAACTCTTACGTTGGTAAAGTCGCATTGAGAAATATAATTCAAATATATCAAGAACATTTGTGAGATTTTGTATATTCAATGACAGTAAATAAAGTCACTACATATATTAATAATTATTAGCTCACCAGCTTATGTCAATTGTCATTGTGCGGCGTCCGTCGTCCGTCCGTCCCTCCGTCCCTCCGTCAACTTTTCCTTTAGACAACTTCTGCTGAAGAACAGACAGGCTTAGAGTCATGATATTTGGCTGAAAGCTTTGTTGGTAGGAGCCCTACAAAGATTCAGAACGAAAATGACCTTGACATACTTTCAAGGTCACCGGGGTCAAATATGTCAAAAACTTCAAACGACTTCTTCTGAAGAACTGAAAGGTATAGAATCTTTATATTTGGCTGGTGGCTTCCTGGGATAGAGCCCAACAAAGTTTGAGAATGAAAATTAGTTTGACCTACTTTCAAGGTCACCGGGGTCAAATATGTCAAAAACTTCAAACGACTTCTTCTGAAGAACTAACAGGTATAAAATCTTTATATTTGGCTGATGGCTTCCAGGGATGGAGCTCAAAAAAGTTTGAGAATGAAAATTACCTTGACCTACTTTCAAGGTCACAGGGGTCAAATGTGTCAAACACTTCAAACGACTTCTTCTTCTGAAGAACTGAAAGGTATAAAATCTTTAATTGTGGCTGGGGGCTTCCTGGGGTAGAGCCTGACAAAGTTTGAGAATGAAAATTAGGTTGACCTACTTTCAAGGTCACAGGGGTCATATATGTCAAAAGCTTCAAATGACTTCTCCTGAAGAACTGAGAAGTGTAGAATCTTTATATTTGGCTGATGGCTTCCTTGGATAGAGCTTGACAAAGTGTGAGGATGAAAATGACATTGACCTTCTTTCAAGGTCACAGGGGTCAAATGTGTCAGACACTTCAAACGACTTCTTCTGAAGAACTGAAAGGTATAGAATCTTAATATTTGGCAGGTGACTTTCTGGGAAAGAGCCAAACAAAGTTTGCTAATGAAAATGACCTTGACTTACTTTCAAGGAGAATTAAAAGACATAAAATTATAATATTTGGCTGGTGACTTCCTGGGATAGAGCTCACCAAAGTTTACGAATGAAAATGACCTCGACCTACTTTAGAGGTCACAGGTCAACAACCTTTTAAAGGATTTGTATTTCAGAACTAAAAGGAATGGATTCATAAGATTTGGCTGGTAGCTTTAAGGAATAGAGCTAACCAATTTGAGAAGGAAAATGAATTTGACCTACGTACAAGGTCACAGGGAAAAATATGTCAAGCAACTTCTGAAGAAGAATGAAAAAGCATAGAATCTTATAATAATATTTTGCTGGTAGTTTTAACAGATGGAGCAAACAAAGTTTGCGAGGGAAATATTTTTAGTGCAATATAATATTTAATGAAAATATTTTGCTATGACTGCTTAAATATTCAGGTGAGCAATACAGGCCCTCTTGGGCCTCTTTTTATTGTTATGAATAAAAAATAATTAAAAATAAAAAGAGTACGTCTCTTTTCTCCATGCATGTTTTCCCACTACTGTTAATTATCCTTCATTTTACAAAATGCACCTATTCTTTATTATCCATTCACCAATTGGCATTATGCATCATTTAAGAGGTGATAGATTTTGGAAATTCCAAAGGCAACATCATCACATGACCTGATTTTCAATTAGCAGTATAGAGAACACATATCTGAGGTATTATAGTAGATATTGATGCTCAACGTGTTACTGAAGCAATTAGGTTTAAAGTGGTGGGCGGCTTTAATGTCACACTGACATAATTCTAGTTTTTAGCTCACCTGGCCCGAAGGACCAAGTGAGCCTATGCCATGGTGCGGCGTCCGTCTGTCCATCCGGCGTCAATATTTTACTTCTAACAACTTCTCAATAACCAAAAGGCCTAGGATGATGATATTTGGCCAGAAGCAAACTGGAATAAATGACCTTCAAGGTAGCAGGGGTCAAATATGTTAAAATCTTTGAACAACTTCTTCTGAATAACTAAGAGACCTAGGATAATAATATTTGGCCAGTAACATGCTGGGATGAAGGGCTACCAAGTTCGTTCAAATGAAGGACCTTGACCAACTTTCAAGGTAAAAGGGATCAAATGTCGTAAAATCTTCAAACAACTTCTCAATAACCAAAAGGCCCAGGGTACTGATACTGGGCCTGTAGCATGCTGGGATGAAGGGCTACCAAGTTTGTTCAAATGAACGGCCTTCATCTATTTTCAAGGTCACAGGGGTCAATTGTCTTAGAAAATTTTTAAACAACTTCTTCTGAATAACTAAGGGACCTAGGATAATAATATTTGGCCAGTAACATGCTGGGATGAAGGGCTACCAAGTTCAAATGAAGGACCTTGACCAACTTTCAAGGTGACAGGGGTCAAATGTCTTAAAATCTTCGAACAACTTCTTCTCAATAACCAAAAGGCCTAGGGTACTGATATTTGGCCTGTATCATGCTGGGATGAAAGGCTACAAAGTTTGATAGTGTTATCTGTACATGGATGAGAATGAGCGGGCTTAGGATGATAGTGTTTACTGTACATGGATGAGAATGAGCGGGCTTACATGGATGAGAACGAGCGAGCTTACATGGATGAGAACAAGCGGGCTTAGGATGATAGTGTTTACTGTACATGGATGAGAACGAGTGGGCTTACATGGATGAGAACAAGCGGGCTTAGGATGATAGTGTTAACTGTACATGGATGAGAATGAGTGGGCATAGGATGATAGTGTTTACTGTACATGTATAAGAATGAGCGGGCTTGGGATGATATTGTTAACTGTACATGGATGAGAATGAGCGGGCTTAGGATGATAGTGTTAACTGTACATGGATGAGAATGAGCTGGCTTAGGATGAAAGTGTTAACTGTACATGAATGAGAATGAGCTGGCTTGCATGGATGATAACGAGCGGGCTTAGGATGATAGTGTTAACTGTACATGGATGAGAACGAGCGGGCTTAGGATGATAGTGTTTACTGTACATGGATAAGAACGAGCGGGCTTAGGATGATAGTGTTAACTGTACATGGATGAGAACGAGCGGGCTTAGGATGATAGTGTTTACTGTACATAAATGAGAATGAGCAGGCTTAGGATGAAAGTGTTAACTGTACATGGACGAGAACGAGCGGGCTTAGGAGGATAGTATTTACTGTACATGGATGAGAATGAGCGGGCTTAGGATGATAGTGTTAACTGTACATGGATGAGAATTAGCGGGCTTAGGATGATAGTGTTTACTGTACATGGACGAGAACGAGCGGGCTTAGGATGATAGTGTTATCTGTACATGGATGAGATCGAGCGGGCTAAGGATGAAAGTGTTAACTGTACATGAATGAGAATGAGCTGGCTTGCATGGATGATAACGAGCGGGCTTAGGATGATAGTGTTAACTGTACATGGATGAGAACAAGCGGGCTTAGGATGATAGTGTTAACTGTACATGAATGAGAATGAGCGGGCTTAGGATGATAGTGTTAACTGTACATGGATGAGATCGAGCGCGCTTAGGATGATAGTGTTAACTGTACATGGATGAGAACGAGCGGGCTTACATGGATGAGAACATTTACTCAGTAAAACAGACTGCCCCAACCTGTGTTTACTACGATATATGGTATTTTATTATTTTTTAGTCTAATGCAGACAACAAGAAGGAGAAGCGACGTTTGGTGAAAAAAATCCGTCAGATTGAACTCCTTGATCAAAAAGTTGCTGAAGGTTATAAGCTGACGTCAGAAGAGGTAAGATACAAACATATTGTTTCAGGGTCACAGGTCAAGGAGCTTCAGGGTCACAGGTCAAGTTGCTTCAGGGTTACAGGTCAAGTTGCTTCAGGTACAGGTCAAGTAAATACAACTATGAAGCTTCAGTAGTAATTATACTGATTAAAATGTTGCATACTTAAACCTCTCTGTAATTAACTGTTATTTCCTTGTCACAGAACAAGCTGTGTAATAAACTACAAGTAACTGTTATTTCCTTGTCACAGAACAAGCTGAGTAATAAACTACAAGTAACTGTTATTTCCTTGTCTCAGAACATGCTGTGTAATTAACTACAAGTAACTGTTATTTCCTTGTCACAGAACAATTTAAGCTGTGTAATTAACTACAAGTAACTGTTATTTCCTTGTCACAGAACAATTTAAGCTGTGTAATTAACTACAAGTAACTGTTATTTCCTTGTCTCAGAACATGCTGTGTAATTAACTACAAGTAACTGTTATTTCCTTGTCACAGAACAAGCTGAGTAATAAACTACAAGTAACTGTTATTTCTTTGTCACAGATCAAGCTGTGTAATAAACTACAAGTAACTGTTATTTCCTTGTCACAGAACAAGCTGTGTAATTAACTACAAGTAACTGTTATTTCCTTGTCACAGAACAAGCTGTGTAATTAACTACAAGTAACTGTTATTTCCTTGTCACAGAACAAGCTGTGTAATTAACTACAAGTAACTGTTATTTCCTTGTCACAGAACAAGCTGTGTAATTAACTACAAGTAACTGTTATTTCCTTGTCACAGAACAAGCTGTGTAATTAACTACAAGTAACTGTTATTTCCTTGTCACAGAACAAGCTGTGTAATTAACTACAAGTAACTGTTATTTCCTTGTCACAGAACAAGCTGTGTAATTAACTACAAGTAACTGTTATTTCCTTGTCACAGAACAAGCTGTGTAATTAACTACAAGTAACTGTTATTTCCTTGTCACAGAACAAGCTGTGTAATTAACTACAAGTAACTGTTATTTCCTTGTCACAGAACAAGCTGTGTAATTAACTACAAGTAACTGTTATTTCCTTGTCACAGAACAAGCTGTGTAATTAACTACAAGTAACTGTTATTTCCTTGTCACAGAACAAGCTGTGTAATTAACTACAAGTAACTGTTATTTCCTTGTCACAGAACAAGCTGTGTAATTAACTACAAGTAACTGTTATTTCCTTGTCACAGAACAAGCTGTGTAATTAACTACAAGTAACTGTTATTTCCTTGTCACAGAACAAGCTGTGTAATTAACTACAAGTAACTGTTATTTCCTTGTCACAGAACAAGCTGTGTAATTAACTACAAGTAACTGTTATTTCCTTGTCACAGAACAAGCTGTGTAATTAACTACAAGTAACTGTTATTTCCTTGTCACAGAACAAGCTGTGTAATTAACTACAAGTAACTGTTATTTCCTTGTCACAGAACAAGCTGTGTAATAAACTACAAGTAACTGTTATTTCTTTGTCACAGAACAAGCTGTGTAATAAACTACAAGTAACTGTTATTTCTTTGTCACAGAACAAGCTGTGTAATAAACTACAAGTAACTGTTATTTCTTTGTCACAGAACAAGCTGTGTAATAAACTACAAGTTACTGTTATTTCCTTGTCACAGAACAAGTTGTGTAATTAACTACAAGTAACTGTTATTTCTTTATCACAGAACAAGCTGTGTAATTAACTACAAGTAACTGTTATTTCCTTGTCACAGAACAATTTAAGCTGTGTAATTAACTACAAGTAACTGTTATTTCTTTGTCACAGAACAAGCTGTGTAATAAACTACAAGTAACTGTTATTTCCTTGTCAAAGCTGTGTCAAATCTGACATTTTACTTGACGCTTTGAATATTATTAACATAATACCTACTTATATTTTCAAAGAAAAATATGTCTCATTTATAAATTCTTCATGTTTATGATATGATTTAATTCTTTGAAAGTGATTGAAAATGGTTATTTCTAACTGGAACCATACTTTACTGTAAAGTTGTTACAATCCCCTAGTTCAATTCAATCTCTCTTAGATAGTGATGGGCTGATGATTGATTATGATATCAAAAATCAATCGGTTTTCCCTTTCCGATTCTGATTATCTATTACTAATTCCCAGTTCCATAAATAATATAATCGGGACATCTTTAAATCAAAGTGTTTCAAAGTCTTCCATGTAAAATATGCTTTGAAAGTCGTATGCTCTTATGATTGTCTCCATATGTAGTGTTAACAAGTCGGTGTATTGATGTAAAAGTTCTAACATTATCTGGGTGTTCAGTCCCCATTAGGCAATCAATCATCGATCAGTTTACTAATTCATTACAGATTATGATTCTAAACCGATTGCCCATCACTACTGTTCGTGAATTCGTGGGTCAGTGTAGGAGAAAACCTACTCTTGAAATAGAAAAAAACTTAAACTACAACTTTAAGTTTATAGGGTTTAATACAAACCATGAATGAGCTCGGGCTTCCATACAGAAGTCCAAACAAGAAATTATAGAAACAGAAAGTCAATGTTTTTTTTATTGATTTTTTACTTTTCAGGAGATCAAGTGTGAAAAGAAAGATGAAATTTTGGAGGCTCTCCAGAATTTTAAGTAAGTGTGAATATTACCTCACTGTCCACCGAGAGTGATACAAGTTTGAAAGTGTAGATATTACCTCACTGTCCACCTAGAGTGATACAGGTTTGTAAGTGTGAATATTACCTCACTGTCCACCTAGAGTGATACAGGTTTGTAAGTATAGATATTACCTCACTGTCCACCTAGAGTGATATAGGTGTGTAAGTGTGAATATTACATCACTGTCCACCTAGAGTGATAAAGGTGTGTAAGTGTAGATATTACCTCACTGTCCACCTAGAGTGATATAGGTTTGTAAGTGTAGATATTACCTCACTGTCCACCTAGAGTGATACAGGTTTGTAAGTGTAGATTCCGGGTTGGGACTTTTGTATTCCTGGTAAGGACTTCTGATTTTTGTTAGGACTTCTGTATTCCTGGTAAGGACTTCTGTATTCCTTGTTAGGACTTCTGTATTCCTTGTTAGGACTTTTGTATTCCTGGTAAGGACTTCTGTATTCCTAGTTAGGACTTCTGTATTCCTGGTAAGGACCTCTTGTTCCTTGTTAGGACTTCTGTATTCCTGGTAAGGACTTCTGAAATCCTGGTTACTACTTCTGTATTCCTGGTTATGACTTCTTGTTCCTGGTTAGGGCTTTTGTTTCCCTGGTCAAGACTTTTGTATTCCTGGTCAAACCTTCTGTATTCTTTGGTCTGACTTCTGTATTCCTGGTAAGGACTTCTTGTCCCTTGTGAGGACTTCTGTATTCCTGGTAAGGACTTCTGAAATCCTGGTTACTACTTCTGTATTCCTGGTTATGACTTCTTGTTCCTGGTTAGGGCTTTTGTTTCCCTGGTCAAGACTTCTGTATTCCTGGTCAAGACTTCTGTATTCCTTGGTCTGACTTCTGTACTCCTGCTAAGGACTTCTGTACTCCTGGTAAGGACTTCTGTATTCCTGGTAAGGACCTCTGTATTCCTTGTTAGGAAATCTGTATTCCTGGTAAGGCCCTCTGTATTCCTTGTTAGAACATCTGTATTCCTGGTAGGGACCTCTGTATTCCTGGTTAGAACCTCTGTATTCCTGGTTAGAACCTCTGTATTCCTGGTTAGGACTTCTGTATTCCTTGTTAGGACTTCTGTATTCCTGGTTAGAACCTCAGTATTCCTGGTTAGGACTTCTGTATTCCTGGTCAAGACTTCTGTATTCCTGGTCAAGACTTCTGTATTCCTTGGTCTGACTTCTGTATTCCTGGTAAGGACTTCTGTATTCCTTGTTAGGACTTCTGTATTCCTTGTTAGGACTTCTGTATTCCTGGTAAGGACTTCTGTATCCCTTGTTAGGACATCTGTATTCCTGGTAAGGACTTCTTGTTCCTGGTAAGGACTTCTGTATTCCTGGTAAGGACTTCTGTATTCCTGGTAAGGACTTCTATATTCCTTGTTAGGACTTCTGTATTCCTGGTAAGGACTTTTGTATTCCTTGTTAGGACTTCTGTATTCCTGGTAAGGACTTCTGTATTCCTGGTTAGAACCTCAGTATTCCTGGTTAGGACTTCTTGTTCCTGGTTAGGACTTCTTGTTCCTGGTAAGGACTTCTGTATCCCTTGTTAGGACTTCTGTATTCCTGGTAAGGACTTCTGTATTCCTGGTAAGGCTTCTTGTTCCTGGTTAGGACTTTTATATCCCTGGTCAAGACTTCTGTATTCCTTGTCAAGACTTCAGTATTCCTGGTAAGGACTTCTGTATTCCTTGTCAAGACTTCTGTATTCCTGGTTACAACTTCAGTATTCCTGGTTAGGACTTCTGTATTCGTTACGACTTCAGTATTCCTGGTTACGACTTCAGTATTCCTGGTAAGGACTTCTGTATTCCTTGTCAAGACTTCTGTATTCCTGGTAAGGACTTCTGTATTCCTGGTTAGGACTTCTGTATTCCTGGTTACCACTTCAGTATTCCTGGTTAGGACTTCTGTATTCCTTGTTAGGACTTTTGTATTCCTGGTTAGAACTTCGGTATTCCTGGTTAGGACCTCAGCATTCCTTGTAACGACTTCTGTATTGCTGGTTAGGTCTATATTATATTCCTGGTAAGGAATTCTGTATTCCTGGTTAGGACTTCACAGGACCATTTTGGTGATAGTACTGATTTTCAATTTTTTGAAGGTTTAAATAGTGACTACTACCAAATTTAGCACACATGTGGAAAGCAACAACGTCTTACATCATCAATGTGGTATGAATGACGCCATTTGTTACCAAGAGTTTAAAGGTTTAAAATCTTGATTTGTTACCCTCCTGATGATAGAATTGAACAGAAGTATCTTTGTTATAACATCAGCAAAAAGTCACTAGCCCCATGCCAGTATGCCTCTAAATTTCACTAGGCCATGCTTAAAATCTGGTATCCCCGTGGCATCATATCATTACACATCTTATTCACAACTACAAAAGTCTGGTATTTGTATATAAAATATTCCCCTCAATTATAATTTATATTTTATGAATATCATATAAATCATAACAAGGAATGTATCTACTTAAGGTTTGATATGTACTTCTTATTTTTCAGAATGTGACTATATAAACAAAAAAACTACATGGATTTTAATCTAGCTGAGCAGCATCCATATAAGTAATATGGAGTTTTCTGGATTTTTTTACTGCAGTAAATAAGAAGGTCAAGAGTAGTGTGAGTTCAGAGGTCAAGAGTAGTGAGAGTTCAGAGGTCAGGAGTAGTGCGAGTTCAGAGGTCATGAGTAGTGTGAGGTCAGAGGTCATGAGAAGTGTGAGTTTTTCTTTTGAACAACTTCTTCTGAAGAACTGTAGGGCCTAGGGTCATTATATTTGGCCAGTAGGATAGGTACCTGGGATAGAGTGCTATAAAGTTTCCTCATTAAAATGACCTTGACCTACTTTCAAGGTCACATCCGTCAAATATGTGAAACATTTCCAACAACAATATCCTAAGAACCATTTGGACTAGAGTCATGATACTTCGGTATGTTATATAGACCAGCAGTGCAAATATTTTTCTCAATAACAGTAATAGGTCAAAGGTCAACTTTAAATGCTAGTCAGGGGTCAAATGCCAACTTTTTTGGTTAAAAGCTTTAACAATCTTCTCAAATTCCATAAGGCCCAGGGTCATGATATTTGGCCAGTAGGTACCTGGGATGTAGTGTTATAAAGTTTCCTCATTAAAATGACTTTGACCTACTTTCAAGGTCAAAGGGGTCAAATATGTTAAAAACATCAAATAACAATATCCTAAAAAACATTTGGACTAGAGTCATGATACTTTGGTATGTTATGTAGACCAGCTGTATGAATTGTTTTCTTTATTACAGTAATGAGGTCAAAGGCCAACTTTAAGTGCAAGTCTGGGGAGTCAAAGGTCAATATGGGTTAAAAGCTTTTAAAATTTCAAGTTTCAAACAACAATATCTTAAGAACTGTTTAAGAGATGTTAAAATGTCTTGTGTTCTAGTTACCAAATTTGGTCTTAAGTTCAGTTTCATGTAACAAAAGAAACAGGTGAGCGATACAGGCCCTCTGGGCCTCTTGTTTATTTTATTGAATGTGATACCTAAGTAAGGGAAGAATTTAGTCTTGTTTTTTTCATTCTTGTTATAAAAGGTCATGTGAAATAGGGATTTGTTTGAACTACCAGGATATTCTAAACCTGATAAGCACTATTGTATGTGTCGTTACTAACATATACCTTGTTACGACTAAACTAACTGGTTACCACTGTCCTCTACCTCGTTACCTAGTTTTACATCTTGTAATGGTGTACAGTTGGTTTTACATCTTGTAATGGTGTACAGTTAGTTTTACATCTTGTAATGGTGTATAGTTAGTTTTACATCTTGTAATGGTGTACAGTTAGTTTTACATCTTGTAATGGTGTAGTTAGTTTTACAACTTGTAATTGTGTACAATTAGTTTTACATCTTGTAATGGTGTACAGTTAGTTTTACATCTTGTAATGGTGTAGTTAGTTTTACAACTTGTAATGGTGTACAGTTAGTTTTACATCTTGTAATGGTGTAC